TAAGCATATTCCTGACTTGGCCAACTGGAAGGTTCCTTCATCGTCCTAAGCATATTCCTGACTTACCCAACTGGAAGGTTCTTTCCTCGTCCAACGTATACTTTTGATCTAACACTCTGCAATGTCCATACTTTTAGCCCTCTAAAGAACAGTCTACATAAACAGTAGCTCTTAACGTTTAATCTAAGAGGAATTAAAGTGTTAAAAAATAAAAAACTATTTCAACTTGCTTAACAATAGCGCAAGAACTTTTAGAATGTGCATAGACTCTATGACTACCTAGATTTATACTAACTTAGATTTTTGAAAATCATTACAAAATTTCATAGAATCATTCCAAAAACGTGCTTAGATCTTGACCACAATATTATTAAAGATCAAAGTTGAAGATAACTGCTGTTTAAGACATTTCAGTAAAACTAAATAATTGTTTAAAATTGCATACTAAGGTTTGTGTATATAATTTGTTTGCCCGTTATATAAATATTCTTTAATTCTTCAGTTACAAGTAACTCAATCCTTTACATACTTCTCAAAATTTTCAGTCTAAGGGCATTCGACTACACATTTTTTTTAGTTTAGATTTTAATGTGACGAACTCAAACCATTTCTTCTGATAGTAAAAGCTTTTATGGTGTTTAAACTGGAATTCTGAATAACTTCGGAAAAAAGTTATTTTACCAAACTTAAACATCAAGTTTATATAATGCGTTTGGTAAGTTGATACACACTTCATAAAATAAACAAAGAATTGAAGCGTTGTTTTAAGTGTTTCTTCTCTCTGAAAACCTTATATTGAATGTTGCACGATATCAACATAACAAATGAAATAAGTACAAAGCACTTGAACTAGAAGCCACAAATAGCGTGGAGCATGAATTAAAGACTATGAACTACGTCTTTCAGATAATTTATCTTCAGGAACGAAAGTCGCTTCCCAACATACTCATCCTTCCTTTAATATGCGACCATCATTGCAAGAATATGAATTATTTTCCTGATTGAATTACAAAGAATGTAGTTACTGATACGACGCTAAATATCAATCGAATAGAGTGGGCCTGACAAAGAAAGATGAACACAAAGCCTATATTAAGACTCATCTCTCGAGTATAATGCTTTTAATATTTCATACTGTGTCTTGCCGATAAAGTCTAAGATGAAAGACGATTTTTTCAGAATATTTTGCAGTCATTCTAAATTCTGGGTAATAAAACTGGTTATTGTCTTGTATCACTAATTGACCAAAATTTAAGCACGAATTTGACGTTTAGTCATTTTGTGTAGGCTATGGAAAACAAAAAAAGTCACATTAGTTTATCTATTGATCAATACTGTTTGATATACACAACTACCTTTTTTTTCCTGGTTCGAAATTAAAAACATCATATTTACAGAAGAACTTCCACGGTTTGACGAGAGCATACCTAACGCCACCGTACCAGTAGGACGAGAAGCCGTCCTTGTATGTAGTGTGGAGAATCTAGGAGATTACAAGGTAAGTGTATGTAAACAAGAGTATTAGTCGAGTAATACATTGTTTTTATTACACACAATCTGTCTAATTGTATTAACTTATTTCACAACTAAAGTATAAGAATAATCTTTAATAATCATATTCTCTCTTCTAATCTAACCTTCCAGTGGCACAGCGGAAAGTTTACGAAGCTTTAACGTTAGATACCGGGTTTGAATACCAGTGATGGGCACAGCACAAATAGCCCATTGTGTAGCTTTGTGCTTAACTATAAACATTCCAATATTTATATTATTTTTCTGATTGAAAACTATAAACCAGTTTTCAGACATTTCACATTAAATTAATGAGAATATCCTGTGATATTTTTGTGCTCTCACCTTCCCTAAATTCACAGTTATTTATTTTCTCACTTTTTAATTAATTTAGTACAGTTTATATTATTTTCTAATTGTACGACGATGTAAAGTTGCCACGATTGAAATTTAGAATAAATATTGAATTTAAACCTGGATGTAGACGTCCTAAGAGCTCCATAAACTTTTAATAAAACGTTTCATCCTGGATTAAAGTGAGAGAGCGACAACTTTAACAATGCATAACTACTAGTCGATAGAGTAGCGTTGTGGCTTAGAACTCGATCTTCACCAAAAGCCTGTGTGTGTGTCTGTGAACCGCCCGTATCTTACATTACGTAGTGGGATATGCCCGTAATGGTGCCTCGATATTGCAGCCAATTTGAAGGCGCAGCTCGTTAAGCCAAGCTTCACATCATGTTCTGTTTTATCAACGTAATTTGCATATAACCATATAACCAAGCGCCTCTAATATCACTTGCAGAAACTAGTAAATACACACCCTATGAAATCCTATGTATTTACCGAAAGCATTGAGCCTATATGTTACATAGTTCTCTCTCCAGATTGTTCCAAATATTTTACTGACTTTCTAACTACCCTCTCTATGGTTTATTACCTTTAATAATGAGTAGTGGTTGTATTAGGTCATAAAAAATTAATGTCGCTTCTTTTTAGATTTAAAAACCCGAACAACTTATATATCAAAACAAAGCATTTATTAAATGAAATAGTGTCCATTATTATCGATTATGCTTTTGCATCTTATAATCAGGTTTTTAATGCTCTGATTAAAGAAATCACTTGGCTTTGAAGCAAAAACATGTAGATGTCCACTTTAACACCTTCCACATTTGCATCCGTTTTCCCATTAAGATGGTGTTGCAGCGAATGAAAAAGATAGTAATCTGATGGTGCCATATCTGAAGAATATAGTGGGTGGGGGAGAACTTCCCAACCCAACTCGATAATCTTGTGTTGTGTCAAACGTACCAGATATGTACGTGCATTTTCGTGTAGAAGAAGAACACCTTGCCGATTGATGAGTGAATGGCGTTTCAAAAGCACGTTCCAGTTCGAAATGGATTACTCCTTTGATGTCCCACCAATTGCAAAGCATCACTTTCTGCGTATGGAGTCCAGATTTTGGGACCGGAAGTGGTTTTTGTCTAGGACTGAGCCATTG